GAGATGAAGACGTCTTAGGAAATTTTGTTGAAAATTCTTCTGCTTATTTCTGTGTTTAAGTGGATGCTTTCCCTTCATCATTTATCATTTCAACAATTTTATCTTGTTACTGTAAAATATCATAAAATGTGACATTGCAAATGTTAAAGTATAATAATTTACCAAAAAAAGACTGGTCAAAATACTCCACTATCCTAGTAATTGTTCATTAATTTGCTGAATTTTTCAAAAGTTCTTTGAAGCCCTAGAAATGCCTTTTCAGATCGTTTAATGAGGAACAGAGTGCCTGAATTAGACCTATTGGCCTTGAACTGCGTAGCACTAATTAGTACTTCTCGCCTGTTCATTTGAATAGTGAAATGAGGACAGATTTTTCCTTCTTTTTTCGCGTTTTTGTCGTGCAGCACTGGAGCACTGGAACAGGCAGCAAAAACGCATATTGCGACGACCCTGTGTGTTTGTGTGTGTTGTTTGTCTATCCGGGTATTTCTACTTGCCAACTACGCAAGCTTTGATGCTGAAATTTTGCCAGCGCCTTCCCTAAGTGCGATTGCAGAAGCGTGATATCAACTGTCGTGGTCTCATTTATGAACACTTGGAAATTTTAGCGGGAAAATTGCTTGCTCGAGAACGAGAAAAGCTAGAAAGCTGAAACTTTAGGGGAATATTCATTACTCATGTACGACCAAAAGATTTCAAATTTAACTTTTCTAGTGAGTTGCACCAGCAACTTTCCATTTGTCTGGTCACGAAAGTCGACATCTACGACTGACATTCCACATGGCAGTACAATTAACTTTCTGAACTTCGAGGGCCAGTATGTCACAAAACCTAGTTGTTGTGATTCCTTGCAGTCTTGCTACAGTATGAAATAGTGCAAAAACGCATGGTCGCACCGGTCCGCCTGGTGCGTTCTAGCCTGGGTTTTCCATTTGGTACGTTTCTGTGCAAGCGCAGTTGGAGACTCGTTTCTGGTCTCTTTTACTGTGAATTAAACGATTTGTTCTTTTTTTATGCGTTTTGTGCTGTGTAACAGCAGTACAAAACGCATATTGTCACAGGGTTGTCTATGTGTTTGTGTTCCTAGCATTTTGTCCCACACTTTCAACTTGGAAACCAAAAAAACTGGGCGGCTGAAATTTTAACATAGTGTTCCCCGCCAGCGGGTGACGCAACAAATTTAAATTCATCCTTTCCTGCACCCGCAGATAACACGCACAGCCCCGTAAAAGTTTCTCGGGCAAATTGTTATCTTGGGAACCACGGAAGCTAGGAAGATGAAATTTTATGGGTATGCCCCCTGACCAAATGCGACCCAGAAAACTCAGATTCAACCTTCCTCTACCCACAGGTAATAAGTGCGACCTAGAGAACTTAAGCTCAACCTTCCCGTGCCTGCGGGTAACACGCACAGCCTCGTAAAAGTTTTAACGGGTAAAATCATTGTCTTAGGAACCGTGAAGGCTAGGAAGCTGAAATTTTATGGGTATGCCCCTTGAACACGTACAACCCAGCTTAAATTCAGTTTTCCGGTGTCTTGGGTGTTGCGTACGGCCCCGTGAAAGTTTTGGCGGAAAATTATCTCGGGAACCATGAAAGCTAGGAAGCTGAACTTTCGGAACGATATTTTCTGCCGCCGCAGGTATCTCTTAAACTTAAATTTAGCTCTCAACTGTGCAGAGGTCTAAGATCACGTGAGAATTGTGATGTGAAAGTCGCCAGCTCAGGAGCCGAAAAACCACAAGGTTGAAATTTGTAGGGATGTTCTCCACTCGTGTTTTCAAATTCAGCTTCCACGTACCGGCATGTGAAATTTTCAGTAGGGAATTCCTCACCTTAGGAGCCAGACAACATATCTATCATTTTTCCATATGCGAAATTGTAAAACAGTTATATTTTTAGTAAGCAAACTTCCGCTGGACGGAACTGCGAAAACGCATGATCGCAGCGACTGTCCTGGTGCGCTTTGCTATTTATTTTCTCATTGCCCCAAAAACTGCTTCATCTGTTTCTTTCCAGGACCTGAAAACACTGAGTCATGTTTTAACTTGGGCAACTTGCGATCCCGTAATGGCGTTATCGTTGCTCGGAGCACGACAGTATCCCACACATCCCATTACGGTGCAGTATGCCGTGCGAGTTTTGCGATCTTATCCACCAGATGTTCTGCTTCTTTACATTCCGCAACTTGTGCAGGCTCTGCGACATGACACGGTGCGTTCGTCTTTCCCGGGCACTTCCTTTTCTCGTTTTTCATTTTTGACCCGCAGCTGCTTCCGGATTTTTGCAGATGGGCTATGTGGCTGAGTTGATTTTATGGTTGGCTGGACACTCGCAACTCTTAGCACATCAACTATTATGGAATATGCAGACCAACATGTACAGAGATGAGGATTCAAAAGAGAAAGACCCTGATCTCTATGGACCTTTAGTGGAACTCGTCAGTAAGGTGCCCTTTTAGTGATGTTTAACTTTTTAGAATTTTGGACATTATTGTCGAGTTCGTTGCTTTGTTTTTTCTCAGACTTATTTTTGCGACCAGTGCAGATCACGTCGAATTTGGAAGGGGCTGCAAAAAGATTTTACGACAGCGAATTCGATTTGTTCAAACGTATCACTGATATATCCGGCAAAATAAAACCTTTCCCGAAAGGAGAAGCCAGAAAAAAAGCTTGCTTAAGCGCAATTGCCGAAATACAGCTCGAGACGGTGACTTATTTGCCATCGAATCCGGAAGCTGTGGTTCTCGATATTGATTACAAAAGCGCAACGCCAATGCAAAGGTATGTTAGAAAGATTGGCTTTTTTCTTTAATTTTGCAGTTTTTAAAAAATCCCTCGTATGTCAGTAGATCTTTCCAACCATCAAGCTGTTAAACAACTGTTGTTCTTTAAATTTCGAGAACTTTGCGGCTTTAGTCAGACTGAAGACCAGTTCCTGTTCCGCCTTTTGTGTTGTCTCTAATCACTGCATGTCCAGAGTTCCAGTGCTTCTAGCTTTCTACTGTTTCTCTTACCAATCCGTAACGGTGCTCGTGTTTGGATCTACTTCTAATGCCAAGTTCATTTGCTTGCCATAATTTAGCAAAGCCTCGGTGGCTGTGATTTCGGCAACTTCGGGATGGTGTTTTCTGATCTGGCACAGATTGGGGCCCTTAGTCTTCGTCACCTTCTCAACTTCGCGATGATTTTCATTGTGGTACTTGCAAGAAGTAGTAATGCAAAAATTGGTTGAAAATCTTGAGCATCTGATATGCTCTCTTCTTTGGTAGCTTCTCTGTCTTTGTTTTTTTGCCGTCGCCTTCTGCAGGCATTTAAGTATTACTGCTTTCAGTGCTTCTGGCGTCTGGCACTTTTGTTGCCATAAATTTGTAAAAATGTGGCTCATAATTTGAGAGTAACTGCACAGTACTGCTCATTATGGTCTCTGTGTATTTCGGGCTGCTCGGTTGCAGTAGATTTGTCTGGACAGCATTTTATCCTAAAAGAACTATGTTACGCATTGTTCACTTTATCTGTTAAAGCAGTTTCATTGCTTTTAGTAGTGATTTGTGAATGATTGCAGCGCAGCGAAAGCGCCCTTCTTGACTCGATTCAAAGTTCGACGTTGCGGTGTGCAGGAATTAGAACGGATTGGGATCGCTGCGCATCAGCGCCATCCCCCTCCTGAAGCAGATATTCGATCGCTGGCTCGATCCGAGGACAGTCGAGTTTGCTGGCAGGCCGCCATTTTTAAGGTTTAAAATTTTTTTTTTTTAATTTTACTGCATCTTTCTCGATTTTCTGTGTACTTGAGAATGTAGTTGATGATCGCTGTAAGCTTCTAACTTCTGTTATGCGAGCTGTAATGTCGCAAGTTTTTGAAGAAAAAAGACCCGGTTCAACTCTTTTAATTTTGCGATTCAGTTGGCGAAGTGTATAGTGTTGAACATAACAGCATTCAGTCATCAGTTTCGCGGTTTAGTTTGGCACATTCAGACTCATTTTGGTTCGCTTTTGGCTCAGTTTTATTGTCTTTAGGCAGATTTGAGGCTGATCTAAAAAGGTAGGCGTTATGTGGAGATAAATGATGACAACATTATTCTTCTACTTGGTTTTTACGCATTTTTAGCTGGCTCTGCGCGTTTTTACGTTTTTTTTTTTTTTTATCATACGTGAATTACTTTGATGATCCCTGCCATTACATTTGTGTTTCATCTTATCATGTGCGTTTAAAAAAGTAGACATTACATGGAGGCAGAAGGTGGGGACATTATCCTTTAACACGAATTCATGTCTTCCTATAACATGGTTGTGACTAGTCAATAATGGCTAAGAAGCCATTTTTTGCACTTGACGGTAAACACAGCTACTACCACCGAATGGGATATTTTATGAAATGCTTCAAACTAGCTCTCTAATCCTCACTGCAACGGCTGTGAAGCGGGCTGTGAAGCGTGGGAACCGCTTTTCGTAGACAGAAAAATTAAGATTCCAGTTTTCAAGTCGTCATTTCGTCTGAAATTTTTTAAAGCTTGATGCATGAAATAAATGAAATTGAAAGCTAATATGAATGCAGGTTGGTGACGATGTGCGGCAAGATATGTTAGCTCTGCAGCTGATGCGTCTGATGCGGAACATTTTTGATGCTGTGGACTTGGACGTTCGCCTATTTCCATACAGAGTTGTTGCTACCTCACCGGGGTGTGGAGTGATTGAATGTGTTCCAAATTCAAAATCACGAGACCAGCTGGGACGGCAGACTGACTTCGGTGTGTTTTTTCCGCGGATCTTCCTAATTTTGAAGACTTAAATTATAGACTGTTGGCTTGGCAAATTCTGCCGAATTGCCTTATTGAATTTTAATTGTTGCTGTTTTCTTAAAAATCGATTTGTCTCGCATCTCGGAGAAGTGCCAGGAACTCATGGCTTTTTCGTAGACAAAAGCGAATTTTCTTTTCATCGATTCCTTGGTTGTCGCTCAGTACATCCTTTCTCTCTCACTTACCTCTTCTCGCTCTTCACTGTCGCAAATGATCTCCGCATTGCTCCTCGAAGATGGGAATTAGAGAAATATCTAATTAAAATTAAGCTGGTAAAATAGGCTTTTTTTTTGGAAGACTGTTTCTTGAGAGCTTTTAAATTCACAAGGGGTGGCATATAGCAGTGAAGTGGCAATATTTGCAGCAAAAACTTGAATGAAGTTGCTATTGGAAATATTACAGGATTATATGAATATTTTCTAACGACGTACGGAGATGAGAATACCGAAACGCTGCAAGTTGCGAGAAGGAATTTTATTCGAAGCATGGCTGCATACAGTGTGTTCAGCTTCTTGCTACAGATCAAGGATCGCCATAATGGCAATATAATGATTGACAGTGAAGGCCATATCGTCCATATCGGTAAATATGCTTTTGAAGCATTTGTTTTGAGTTCTCAATTTCCAGAGGGATTTTTCATGTTTTAGTCAAGCAGTGCACATAAAAATGATTTTTTTTTTTTTAGATTTTGGCTTTATGTTTGAAAGTAGCCCAGGCGGCAATCTTGGATTTGAACCGGACTTCAAACTTTCGCAGGAAATGGTGGCAATTATGGGTGGCAAAATGGAGGCACCAAGTTTCCGACTGTTTGCATCATTATGTGTTCAAGCATATCTGGCTATTAGACCCTATTATAAAGTAAGATTATTGCCCAGGGGCTTGCATGCTCGGCTTTTTTCTTTCTTTTTTTTGGCTCTCCTTGTTGCCTCATAAAGATGTATTATGGATTTGCAGGCTTTTATTGCACTAGTGTCGCTAATGCTCGACACTCATTTGCCGTGTTTTCGTGGCAAAACAATACAGCAATTCCGGGATCGTTTTGCTCCGCAAATGTCGGATCGCGATGCAGCAAAGTACATGATGAGCATAATACGTAATTGCTTTTTGAATGTGCGCAGCAAAATGTATGACCAATTGCAGTATATTCAGAATGAGATACCGTATTAGTTGTTTGTGAAGCTGTTTTGAGTGTGGGAAACGAATAAGAAGCAACTCATTTCCAAATTTTAGCCAACCAAAATCATCCAGTTTTGGCTTTCAACAGAAAAATCTGAAATTTTAAGTTTTTTTTTTTACATTTGTACGAGTTCCTCCCATCCCCGCAACAGCTGGAGTGCTAGTGAAAGTAGGCCAGAAATGTGTTTTTGCCATATAATTATTGTGATGTACTTACAAACATTTTAAGGATGCTTAAAGATCCTTAAATTTGTGCTGGAAAGTGAAATACTTTCAATTTTTTTGTAACGATATGGACTTGATTATTTTTATAAAAGTTGGCGAATTAATAATTAGATATCCAACTTCCGGAAAAAATTGTTTTTATGCGACTTCTAAAACTGAAAGTTGAATTTTTAAATAAAATCTTTACATTTAATCTTCAACGATACGTTTTTTACACTTATGTGCGAAAATGAAAGTTAATTTTTCAGTATCTTTGATGGTTTCTCTATAATTATAACGTAGCAGTCGCAAAGTAGACTTTAATTGTGCTCGCTTAGCTTAGGCGTCTGTTCACAGTGTTTTTTGAACTTCTCATACAATAATTTTAGCATTCCGCGGTGTACCGTATGTCTATAATTGGCATTTAAAAATGTTCTTTCGCTTAAAAGGTAAAAAAAAAACTAAATTTTTGTGTGTTTCATTTTGTATGCAATACTTACTGCTAATGTGCTAATACTAATTTATTAAATGAGACATCTACGTTGTATCGCACACTTACTATCTGCCTTTATTGTGAGGCTTCCAGTTTTTGTCAGAAACATACTTGAGCATTCCTTCCCATCCAGTCAAGAGAGATCGTAAGAATGTTAAAAGGAAAATTCCGTCATATGCGCTCCAGTGGAGGCAATCTACATTAACAGAGCGAGCAGGTATTCAAAAGAGAAATTCGAACTCTGAGTTCTCGGACCTCGAAAACCGATGCAAGCCTTAGTTACTAAACAAACGCAGGCCTCCTAGCAACTAATGACCTGAAGAGGAGGTAGCAAGGCCTACTGCAGATAAGTAAGTGAACGCTAAGTGAGCCTGTAGCGGCTGGGAATTCATAGATTGCTAAAGGAGTAGTATTCTGCGAAGCGGCTTGCCGCTCTGTGCATTGTTCTTGTTCCCCAAATTTCTTATTGTGTTGTCTAGGCTCGTTAGCTGAATAGTGGGACGGGACAGCAAGCTCAAGCCAACTCTC